AACCCAGGAGAGGTTATGATTTCGGCCGAGCAAATCCACAAAAGACTTGTAAAAGCGGAGATTCTCAGCAGGGTAATAATACTACTACTAGGTTCTGGGTTCGAATCCCCACCATAGCTGTCAACTTGCAGATTTGAAAATAAGGGGCCAGCAGCCTCGAAAATAAGGGATCAGCAGCCAAAATAAGGGATCAACAATTACTTTGATAAAATGCATATTTTGTTGCGTGCAAATGGCTTTAGATACCTATTAGGTCCATTAATTACCATATAGCACATATTCAACACAAAAAAACAGCAACTATTTGTTGTTGACAAAGGACAGCTGGACATAGAAAGGGCCCCAATACCTTCAGTAGCTTATTTAAGGGACATCATCAATAAGGGACAGCAGCGGGACATGGCGCTGGGATAAGGGACTGTCCCGCCAAATAAGGGACGCTTGACAGCTATGGTCCCCACTTGGCCAGGGAGCTGAATGGGTGACCTCGGGGCAGGCGTTGGCTCTCTCGGCCTGGCCGACCTCGCAGAGGATTCATCGAGGGTGGGGAACCCGTGGCAGACAGGGGTTCAAATCCCACCCCCTGCAATTGCACCCCCTCCAGCCTAATATACCCCGCAGGTTTGTTGTGGAGGGAAAGCTGCTTTGGAGAACGCAGCAACAGTAATTAAATAAAACGCACACACTCCGTCTCTCAACGAACGGAAGCGAGAGATTTCAGCCACCCGCCCTGCACCCAGATCTCAGGAAAGGGCGTCAGATCTTTCGTGAGACCCACCCCAAACATTCGAGGAAGCAGATTTTTCTGCTTTTAGCAGAAGGAAGACGGGCAGCCGTTTGAGGCGAGCAGAGCAGCCGCAGGATGAATGAGGGGTGGGGCTTCCTGGTTTTGTGTCTCTCTCTCTCTTCCCCACCCCAAGTAAATACCCGGACAGTAACTGGGCGTTCCCTTCTGTGGAAAAGCTACGCAAAGAAGAGGTTTGCTGGGGGAATGGGGGAGAGGTTCTACTCCCTGCCGCCATTTCCCTGTCCTAGGAAGAACGCAGAAGCGGTTTGGTGCCTTGAGCTTGCTTGGTTTCCTCTTCCCTCCCCAACTCTCTTTCCTCTCGTGTGTGTGTGTTTGTTTTCAAACAATATTACTAAAGCTTGCAAGCCTTCGGGGGCAGAGCTTGCCATAGAGATAGAGATATATAAGATATACTGTATTTTCTGGCGTATAAGACTACTTTTGAACCCAGAAAAATCTTCTCAGAAGTCGGAGGTCATCTTATACGCCGGCTACAGCAGCAGCTCCGGCAGCAACTCCCCACCAAAGGATAAAATGGCCGCAAATTAAATCAGAGGACACCAAGCTCTCTAGACGAAGCAGAAATACGCTTGAAAATTGGCCCCAGAAACCCCTGGCCACTGGGAAGTGGAGCGGATTTCTGAGCCGGACTGGAGACTGGTTTTTTTAATTTTTATTTGGTGTGCGTTGGAAGAGGGTAGTCTTATACGGCGAGTATATCCCAAACTCTGTATTTTAACTGGAAACTTTGGGGGGGGGGTCGTCTTATACGCCCAGTCGTCTTATACGCCGGAAAATACGGTATATACATGCACACACGCACATACACACACACAGGGGACATATGTCAGATTCTAGGGAGCTTTATTACTTATTAAATTTGTTATTAAATTATTAAATAATTATTAAATTGCTTATTATAAATTATGGCCCTGTCCCTGCAGATCTCACGAGCGGCTCACAACATTAAAAGCAACGCAACCTTTCACAATACGAAGACGGCGACGAATAATATCGATCTACTAAACAGAGAATGAATATTTACGAAGAGAGATGTACGAAATGGTAATTTTCACGGTTGCAAAGTTGTTTTACAAAGTTGCGTTTTAATGCTGACCTTAGGACAGTTCCCTCCCTGCGAGAAGCCAAGTTACAGGGAACCAGACACAGGGCCTTCTCGGTGGTGGCGCCCGCCTTGTGGAACGCCATCCCGCCAGATGTCAAGGAAATAAACAACTATCTGACTTTTAGGAGACATCTGAAAGCAGTTTAGGGAAGTTTTTAACGTTTTGTCGTCTTTTTTAATATTCTGTTGGGAGCTGCCCAGAGTGGCTGGGGAAACCCAGTCAGACCCAGGATACAAATAAAATAAAATAAATAACGTGTACCAAATGCACACAAGGCTCAAAATTAAAGGGAAAGCATGTGGCTGGGCAGAATTCTGCGCCAAAACCACTGGGACTGATTCAGCACAGCTGTTATGACACAACTAAGACCCATACGATGGACAAGAACTTCGAAATCAATGCCAGGCCAGCATCAAAACTTCAGAGGAAGCCAAGGGCAAGTCTTTAAACCCGGCCACCCTCCCGCAACCAGATTCTGCGCCCTTCTCCGCCCCCCCAAGACATTTTTTTGCTACCAAAAGAAAAGTCTCCGCAAAGAGGAAGGAATGTGGGTTTCGCAGAAGCCAGAATAATGAAAGCCAGACCCATCAGAAACAGATGGCCGGCTGCCACTCGGCTCAGCTCCCCACCCCCCACAAAAAAATGCATGCATTCTTGGCGTGAACCCCCCATCAATAGGCCAACCCACCCAACCCCCTCAAATTCCACCCTTGCCTCTTCCCAAGGGTCCTACTCCCATGGGGGCTGGGAGAGAGAGAGCGCGCAGGAAATAAATCAAAATTCCCCGCCCCTCTCTTCTCTATATAATGATCAGGCTGTGGGATGGAGGGGGGGGGGAAGAGGAAGGAGAAATTGGACTCTTTCACCCCCCCTTGCTGCTACTCTGCACCCCAAATAATAACAATTAACTGGCCGTTCCACAACGCTGCCCTACTATATATTCATTTTTTAAAAATAAACGTGGGCCTCGTTTTTTTAAAACCCTGGGCACCACGTAGTAAATTCCAGGCACCTTAGAAGTGATATAAATGCTCTGGTGAATTTGGCGTTGGGGAAGAATTGCAAACAGAAAACGAAAAACTGGGTGAATACTAAAAGTTGTGGGTTTATTGAAATTAAATGACAGGCGTCCAGTTTGCTATTGTTGAGAATGCTGGCCAGATCCAGCACGCTTCTTTTTACTTATTGGGGCTGCGGGGGGGACAGGGCGACTGGAAAGGGGCTCACACCTTGGTTTTAAATCACATTATCAAAATGCATGTTTTGATCACGCGAGGATTAGAAAGACAATCGGTTTTCATTCAGCTATGTTGGACTCAGATTGGGCTGCCCCCCACCCCCGGAATTAATGGACACCCCCCAGTTCACCTTGTTCATTAAGTTCAACGGGACCCCACAACCATTTGAAGAATCGGTGCCCGCTCGGTTTCTTCTTCCCTCCCCAATGCTTTTTCCTTTTGTGATGTGTTTTAAATTGCGGCTGGTTCTGTTTGTTCATTTCTGTGGCTGGCAGACTAATGGCGAGGGACAAAGCCAGAGATATGAAATGGACCAGGACTCATTTAGGTAATTTAGAATGCCATGAGCCATGTGCAATGTTAGCCCTACTCAGAGTAGACCTATAGCTGAGAAACCCTCATCCCGCTGCCTTTTTCCTCTAGCCTTGAAAGATTACCAACCCAAATCAGTGTTAAGCAGCCTTCCTTGAAGACTCCAGAAATATTATTATTATTATTATTATTATTATTATTATTATTATTATTATTATTATTAACAACAACAACCACCACCACCACCCTGGCTTTCCAAGGGTCCTGAACCCCCCAGCTCTGAAAGCCCATCGTGATGTGGGAGACAAATCCACACCTTTAATAGTCACAAGTTTCCCTTACAGGATTCAGTTAAATCCAACAAAAGGCTAGGCTTCTAGGTTCTCTCTAAAGGCAGCGGTTGCCAACTTATCTAGACCCCACAGACGCATCTGCATTTTGGAGCGAGCCCCACGGCAACACCTCCCTCTAGCCCCTTCTGCCCTCCCTCCCGCAGATCAGGCGGAAATAAAACGAAAATTCAGATTTGGTGCAATTCATCCAGAGCCTCGAAAAGCCCATAGAGATGAAAGAGGAAGTGGGAAAGAGCGGCACTCTTTCACACTTCCTCCTTCAACTCTATGGCCTTTAACCCTCGCAAAAAAACGAGATCGTACAAAGCCGTCACTCCCCCTTCTCAAGTCCCATCCCTCGACATTTAAAGCAGTCACGGTGCACAAAGGATTCTGGGAATTGTAGTTTCAGGGTGCTGAGAGTTGTTAGGCGGCGTCCTGTTCCCACCAAAGAACTGCAATTCCCAAAATTCCTCTACAAAGAGGGATGGGCTGTTTAACCACCTTGGGAATTGCAGCGCTCTCTCAGCACCCTGAAACTATAACTCCCAGGATTTTCTGGGGAAGCAACTGCTTCAAAGTGTCGAGATAGTGCTTTAATAATAATATTTTTTTATTTTTATCCCGCCCTCCCCGGCCAAATTCGGATAACAACATGTATAAATACCACAGCATACATAAAATATGTACATTAAAGTTTATTAAGGAGATGCAACTTAACAAGGAATAAATTAAGACCCTCACGGAGGGGAGGGAAGTAAGATAAATGGCGACAATTAAAGATGTATTAAAGATACGTCGAATGTATAAATAAAATAAAATACACGCGGAACCAAAGATGTCCTGGACAACAGATTGGGGAAAGGAAAAGGAGAAGATGTACAATCAAGCTACAAAATTAACCGCACTACAGTTCCCAAGTCAATATGGCGGCGATCAGGGAAGTGATCCGAAAGGAAAGAAGGAAGTTTTACCCAAAGGCAGAAGCGGAGCTCATTTTTCTTTTGAAATCCTTCTTTTAAATACAGGGGGATCTGAATTTTAGGAAAATGAGGCATTTACAAATTTGGAGGTCACCAGGGCTGAGACAGCCTGCCTGAGGGCTGAGGGCGATTTCAGGCAATGGAACAAAATAAGGTTCTTGGGAGAAATTTTCACAGACACACACACACACACACACGTCCCGAGTCGAAGGTGTCCTTACCTGAGTTTCTGTTAAACTTTCCAACGCTTGCATTACGGACTGCTCCGGTCTGGATGCTTGCGACTGTAGAAGGTGGGTTTTTTGGGGGGGAGAAACAAGGAAAATAAGATAAATCTCTTTTTCCCAAAATCGACACTTTGCCTAGTCCAGTATATCTGAAGGAGCATCTCCACCCCCATCGTCCAGCCCGGACACTGAGGTCCAGCTCCAAGGGCCTTCTGGCGGTTCCCTCCCTGCGAGAAGCGAGGTTACAGGGAACCAGGCAGAGGGCCTTCTCGGTGGTGGCGCCCGCCCTGTGGAACGCCCTCCCACCAGATGTCAAAGAGAACAACAACTACCAGACTTTTAGAAGACATCTGAAGGCAGTCCTGTTTAGGGAAGCTTTGAATGTTTGATGTATTACAGTATTTTAATATTTTTTTGGGGGGGGAAGCCGCCCAGAGTGGCTGGGGAAGCCCAGCCAGATGGGCGGGGTATAAATAATAAATTATTATAATATTATTATTATTAGTCGCCTACAGAGCATTCCGAATCGCCTCTAGGTGAGCAGGAAGGAAAAGAACCCAAGGGGAGGCTAACTTATCTCCGCACCCACCCCCAGCTGCCTTTGAGTGACCTGTTAGCTTGCAGAGGGGCTCCAAAAATTAAATTAAAGGTTAGGGAACCTTTTCCTAGCCGGGGGACTAATGGGCCCAGGGCCAATCTTCCGGGGGCCACATGGCAGAGGTGTGGAGGGCCAGACCAAAAAAAGCAGGCAGAATTTTACTAGTTTCTGCAGAGTTTGGGTGACCATCTGCCAGGGGTTCTTTTAGCTGTGGTTCCTTAGAGCAGGCATAGGCAAACTCCAGCTGTTTTGGGACTACAACTCCCATCATCCCTAGCTCACAGGACCAGTGGTCAGGGATGATGGGAGTTGTAGTCCCAAAACATCTGGAGGGCCGAGTTTGCCTACCTTAGAGGATGACTAAGGCATCCATTGCCATACTCAATGGATTCTGACTACAAGTCCCATAATCATTGGCCATTCACACCCACCCAGTTGCAGCGGATGGGAGTTATAGTTCAAAGCACCCGGTGGGCGCCACATCTTGGGCTCCTCCTGAGGCTTAGGGAGGTAAGAAATGAAATTTATTTACCATTAAGCCAGTTTCCACCGTTGGCACCAGAGTCAACTTGCTCCCGTCTCCAACGCCCAGATCTTGAAGTTTGCCCGAATTAAGTCGACTAAAAGGATAAATTTTTTTTTTTGGGGGGGGTGAGCAGGGGGAGAGAAAGAGAGGGAGGGAGGAGGGATAAAGCATTGTTACTTTTTTAAAAAAAAAATACAAATGGTAATTAAATTGCTTTCAGAACACAGAACCTCCGATTATTCAGCTTTTCAGTATTTTTCTTTTTTGGGGCAATGGGGAGTGTCTTCTTTCAGCCTCTCCCCCTTCCGCTCCTTTTATGTAAACACAATATAATAAGTCAGTCTCTCCCCCCCACACCCCAGACACAGGGCAGCTGGTATTCCGCAGTCATCCGTCAAGCAACTATCTCTTTGCACAAACCCACTCTGCCAGACGATTTCAGCGACAGATCTGGGTAGATTATTTTATCCATTCATTCATTGCAAAAAAAAAACACACAAAACCAATCCCCATTGTATCTGAAGAGAGAAATGGCCATATTTTTCCAAGGGGAGAGACAGCAAGCGATAAATTTATGGTTGTAAAAAGAGGGGCTCCCCCCCCATATTATATTGCAAGGCCCAGTACCTAAAGGGGAAAATATAGAATAAAATGACATTACTGTTCCCTTTGAGTGGGGGCACCTAAGTCTGAACTGTCCCCTGTTTTTACCTAGAAGGGAGAACATAAAAATGCAGTTTTGGGGGATTTATGCATTAAAAAAATAAATAAAAAGCAGATCAGACGGGGGTGGGAGGGAAGATATACAAATCTGGGGGGGGGGAGATTGCCTTCCCCCTCAAGGGCTCCTCACATAAAGGCAACGTTTCCTTGCATCTTAGGAACTGATCTGCCTTTCTCTACCCTAACAAAGCTGAGATTTTGTTAAACAAAGGGAGAGAGAGGAGGAGGAGGAGGAGGAGGGACGCCCCCCCCAGCCTGGCCCTTATACGCTACTGTTGCAATTAGATTTCCACAAATCCTCTGTATAATTACAAAAAAATAAAATAAAACGAGAATACAATGTTTCGCATTCCCTGCAACAGTAAGGATGCTCAAATATTGATTTATATATTTTTAAGCAGGTACTGTTTTTGCACAGAGGTGGAGTATGTTGTGGGGGGGGGCGCGTGTCCTGCAATTGCAAGAATCAACCTTCCGAACAAAGGACAGGAGGGAGAGGGCCAGGCCAGGATTTGGGGGGGGGCAGGTAGATTTGGGGGCCCCATTGAGAATTTCCAGCTATGCCCCAGACAAACCCTTTTGTGGGAACCCGAAAAAAGAGGCCAGGACAGATTTTTTTTTCCGGGGAAAAAATAGGTATGAATAATATGCCCCCCGGGGCATATTATCCTCACTAAATATCCTCACTAAATATCTCAAATTTTAAGTGGGTGATTTCAGAGTGTGGTTTTTCTAGACCACTCCTCCCCGTTCATAAATAGAGGGAGAAATGGAAATGGGGGCTATTTGGGGACAATAAGTATTTTGGGGACACACCAGATCTAGGCTGAAGGAATCTCTTTTATAAACACACCCCCTTCACACATCCTAGTCTGGTGCCATGAAAGGAACCCGCCGCAAAATGACAATATATATATACATTTTAGGCGATTTTAGGCAACTATGCACCAACACGTATCACAAGACAGGTTTATAGCAGGGATGTATAAAAAAGGGGGAGGGTCACGAGTGTGTCATACGTGTGAACACGGGTGCAAACACACCCACCCCACAAAAGCAAGCAGACATGATTTTTATTTTTATTTTGGCCCGAAATCCAGCCATTGCAAAGGAACGGGCGCAAGTCTGCAACTCACTTCCACTCATTCCAACGGGTCTACTCTGAGCGCGATCCGCTACACTTTCCTGCCCTGCTTAAAAAGTTGCACGGCGAAGCCTCCCGGCTGAGCTTACTCCCGAGTAGACCATTTCTCTCCTCCCCAACCCTCACACACACACACCGCGCCGCTAAGATCCCACCTGGCCCTGTTTGCCCTGGGATTAAGCCCTTCTGGGTTCAGCTGCGGAGGCCTACTCCCGAGTAGAACAACGCCTCGGGGTCCGGGATGCAGGTCGAAAAGCGAGGCGCTGGATCCCAAGCTCTCCGCCGGAGCTGTGCAATTAAAAGGGCGCGAGCTTCCTCAAGCCCATTCCTTCCAATAGGTCTACTCCCGAGTAGAGCTCGCACCCCCCCAACCGGCCAACTGAACGCAGCGAACTCGGGCACATCCCTTTCCCACGAGCAAGAGTTCACAACCACCCACTGACACGGAGACGCTCCGTTCGCGTCAGCGGGTCTACTCCCGAGTAAAACTTCGCAGGCTGCAACCCCAACTTCTTGCTCCCTTGCGAGCTCCCGATTTAAGCCTAGCTCCTCTACACGGGTATTCGGGATGGGGTGGGGAGGAAGAAAGGAAAAGGAAGGAGGGGGGAATTAGCAATAGAATACACACGCGCGCGCGTACACGTGTAATTACCTTTCTTTGTGCAGCAGCGCCAGCCTCTCCCGCGGGACCTTCAGCCTCTGGGACAAGCGCCGCTTCAGACCTTCCACCGTCTCTTCCACGGGCACAGACAGCTCATACCGGGCCCCGGTGGTCGTGTGAACGAGCACATTCATGGACGGCTCGCTCTGGACGGCGTCGCAGGCTGGAGGCCCCCGGCTGCAGCTTCTGGGGGTGGGTTGGTGGTCCATTCGATTACCTAGAGGTTTTTTTTTGGGGGGGGGGAGAAAAGGAGACGCGGATCAGACAAAAGGAGCGCTTCCCGCGAGAAACCGGAGCGACTCCGCTTCGAGCGTTCACACGGCGCCGGAGTCAACCCGAATGCAAGCTTTCCAGACGTCCTCCTCTCTTTCTCACTCTCCACCCCCAACCCCGCCGCCGCTCGCGTGCAAAGATCGCGTAGGGAGCCGACGTCCTTTGTCCTCCTCCCCCAAAACTCACGCTCCTCAATTCTCCCCTCCCCCCTCCCACTTAAAAGACAATGGGAAGGCGACTTTGTAAAAAAACACACACACACAAAACCCCCCCAAATCTGTCTACTGGTTGAAATATAGTTTAAAAGGGTTTTTAAAATATATATATATTTAAATTATTTCCTCCCCACCTGAGGCTCGAACCCGCGGCCACACAGACGGAGCAGCGAAGCAGCCGCCGCCGCGGCTGCTGCTGCTCCCGAGGTCTGGCGTGAAACTAACCAGCGCAGAAGAAAGGAGGAGGAGATGAAAGAGGGGAAGAGCCAGAATGAGAAAGAGGAAAAGGGAGGGGGGCGGCGGCGGCGCCGAGCGCAAGTTATAATGTATCGACGTTCCAAACGGGGGGCGGAGCCTCCTTCCCCTCCCCATTCATTCTTTTCTCCGGCTCTCTCCCCCCCAGCCAATCCCAGCCCTCCGAACGCCCAGACGCCACCGCGGCGGGCCAATGGCGGCCGGCGGGCGGCTCTCCCCCCACGTGGAAAGGGAGACCGGATGCTCCGCGCAGACCAGCGCCATCAAGCCATAGGGGGAGGGGGCAAGATGGAGTTTTTTTTTTAACCCCCCTTCTCCGCCCACACGCCTTTTTTTTTGAGGGGGAGGGGTAAGAGCCGGCCCCCGTCTTTCCTCCCCCGCCCCGGTCTCTCTCTTTTTTTTAAAGGGCCATTCATAATATATTCTTCCTAAAACAAAGAACGTTACAGTATTAAAGAATGAGACGTGTGTGAGATCGATTGTACTGTGTGTGTGTGTGTGTGTGTGTGTGTGTGTGTCTATATATATATAGATACAGAAATATGTATATGCACAAATATATAGATATATAGATATATACACACATACATAAATAAATACATATATTTATAGATATACAGGTATATGTATATATCTATAAATGTTTATATACATATATATGGATTTATACATATATATGCATACATATATATGGATATACATATTTAAATCCATACATATATATGGATTTATAGATAGGTTATATAGAAGCCCAAATGGGGAGAATGTTAATTGCAAGGAGGCAGGAGGAGGGTTGGTCTTTTTTGTCCTAATTAATGTTTTTTTAAAAAAGGAAAATAGTGGGTTTTTCTTTTTTTTAAAGGGAAGGTTTGGAGCCCTGAGACGCACAAAGAACTTCAGAGGAAGAGTGGTATATAAATGTAATAAGTGATGATGATGATAAATTAATAATAACAATAAGTAATGATAATAACGTACAATTTACAATAGCAATATTGTATCAAGTTTTTTGAAAGATTTAGTATAGCTTTTCTTGCGCCAGCTGAATCCCTCTCATTATTAAGTAATCTCAAAATATTCCCCTGCAACAAAATACGGTAATACAACAGCCCCGTACTGCAGTCCTCCCTGCTTTTGCAGAGTTAATCAGAAATAAATACATCTGTGCCCCAAAGAACTGTAGGGTCCCAGAACCATTTTTTAAAAGAGCTATATCATGGGACGTGGGTGGTGCTGTGGGTTAAACCACAGAGCCTAGGACTTGCTGATCAGAAGGTCAGCGGTTCGAATCCCCGCAATGATGGGGTGAGCTCCCATTGCTCGGTCCCTGCTCCTGCCAACCTAGCAGTTCGAAAGCACGTCAAGGTGCAAGTAGATCAATAGGTACCACTCTGGCGGGAAGGTAAACGGCGTTTCCGTGTGCTGCTCTGGTTTGCCAGAAGCAGCTTAGTCCTGCTGGCCACATGACCTGGAAGCTGTACGCCGGCTCCCTCGGCCAATAAAGCCAGATGAGCGCTGTAACCCCAGAGTCGGTCACGACTGGACCTAACGGTCAGGGGTCCCTTTACCTATATCATGTTAGGTTATACCTGGAATAAACCCAACGGAAATTTATGTACCTCCAGGGGCCAAATTAATGGCTTGCTGTGGTTAAAAATGGGTTGGATACAACCTTAAGGCGAAAACTCTCTTTTCAGGACATGCATCTAGCAAGCTAGAGGCCTGAGCTCCCTTGTGGAAGCACGGTGAAAATATGATAAACAAAGAATGTATCGGAGCATGCGCAGAGTGCCGCAGAAACAGGGACATAGAAGGCCGGCTGTCGGTCTATCAAGCTCAGTTTTGTCTACTACACTGAGTGGCCGTGGCTGCGCGGGGTTTCAAGGAAGGAAACTGCAGATGTGAGGGACTCAGCCTGTAATAATAATAATAATAATAATAATAATAATAATAATAATAATTTTTATAGCCCATCCATCCAGCAGGTTCTCTACCAATGCTTGCCCTCTTGCCATGTTGGTGTAGGAAAAGTCTATGTGTGCAATTCGGCAGAACATTATTTTTATTATTATTATTATTATTATTATTATTATTATTATTATTATTATTATTATTATTAAATGATGCTTGCATTACCAGCCAACCCTCCTGGTGTCTCTTTTCTGATTAGTTGCATTTCTGCCCCCTCTAAGAGCCTAGCTTGATTATTATTATTATTATTATTAATATTATTATTATTACAACAACAACTTTATAAGGTAGGTTAGGAGCAGAGAGATAGAGAGAGGCAGAAAGGCAGGCAGCAGAACTGGCCCAAAGTCACTCAACGAGCTTCCTGGCAAAACAGGGGTACAAATTCAGCTCTCCGGTTCCCATCTACCGCTCTAACCACTAGGCCACGTTGCCTTGCTGCACAGGCCGGGCTGTCAGAGCCAGGAGCCGGCGCTGTTATTCCCTGAAGCTGAGAGGGGTTGTTGCCTTCGTCCCATCACTGCTACGATTCAAAACGGCGCCCTCGAGTCTTTATATAGGATTCGTGGAAGGGAACCCAGAGGTCATCCATCCTGACCCGCCGCCGGCTAAGGGGTAAAATTAATCTAGCAGGAGGTTCCTTCTGAATCTCCTTGCACCATCGAGGCCCCACACAGACAATAGTGAGCCGAATGAACCAACGCCCAGACTCCTTATGAAGCATCTTCTTGAGACTTGAGAGGTACGTTCCAAAATCTCTCCAGAGCAGCAAGTTTCTAGTCCTTTTCAGAGTTAGACCTGTGAATTCATTGAATGTAGCAAAGGGGATTTGTGGCGGAAGGAAGACGGCGTTTCTAGAATAAACTACTGAGGGAGATGCGTTAACTGCCTAGTCGATAATGCAATATTAACCGAGCAAAATTCTATATTAGATGTACTTATTGGGTGGGTTGCAGCCAATGTTTCAGCCGTACGCAAAATGGGCCCGTTGAAATTCACAAACGTGGCTTACTGAGGTCCATTCATTCCAATGGGTTTACTCCGAGTAGAAGATAGCTGGCTGGAAATTATATGGATCGATGCATTCTCAATGCAGATAATTTATTATTATTATTATTATTATTATTATTATTATTATTATTATTATTCTGCAGATTGGGTGACGAGGATTGAGTACGGCGATAGATTTTGGGTCTGGGGTGAAACATTTGGGTTATAACAGATCCCAGACTTGCAATCCTGTGTCTAGTTGCTCAGAATTAAGTACCAGCGGTGATTATTCTCAAGTGCTTTACCAAATGAGAGGTGCAGGTGGGCCTGAAAAAAACCCTGTCCATAATTTAAACTGTAAATTAGCTTAGTGGTTAGGGCTAACAGCTAGGGGAAATCACTCTGTATGTCCTCAGAGGCACTCTTGACCAGCCAACACGCCGCTGCAGGGGACTGGTTGATGGAGGCGGGCGTGAATTGTCGGTAGACCTGGCTAATATTTCGCTTGTGGGTTTGGGGTGTTTTATCACCGGTGTGATAAAAGGGACGCGGGTGGCGCTGTGGGTTAAACCACAGAGTCTAGGACTTGCCGATCAGACGGTCGGCAGTTCGAATCCCCGCAATGACGGGGTGAGCTCCCGTTGCTCGGTCCCAGCTCCTGCCAACCTAGCAGTTTGAAAGCACGTCAAAGTGCAAGTAGATAAATAGGTACCACTCCAGCGAGAAGATAAACGGCGTTTCCGTGCGCTGCTCTGGTTCGCCAGAAGCGGCTTCGTCCTGCTGGCCACATGACCCGGAAGCTGTACGCCGGCTCCCTCGGCCAGTAAAGTGAGATGAGCGCCGCAACCCCAGAGTCGGCCACGACTGGACCTAATGGTTAGGGGTCCCTTTACCTTTACCTTATCACCAGTGTGTTGATAAAGCGATCAAATCAATCTAGTAGCTGTGCGGTCGCTGAGCTGAGAACCCCAAAGGAGATCAACGCAGAGGTTCCTTTGCTGGGACTAAATGGTGTAGAGAACAGGCAAGCTTGGCGGTTTCACAGGGCTCTTTGTCACCAGCGCTCTGTTAATACACGCAAGCTTGCACCTCTCCTTCGCCAAACCAGGCTACTCTGCATCAAGAAATACTTCCTTGTCTTAACTTTCCTGTTCAGGGGCAGAAAGAGGTGCTTGAAGTAAATCAAAACTCTTTTTGTTGTTTTTGTTTAGTCGTGTCCAACTCTTCGTGACCCCCTGGGCCAGAGCACGCCAGGCACTCCTGTCTTCCACTGCCTCCCGCAGTTTGGTCAAACTCATGCTGGTAGCTTTGAGAACACTATCCAACCATCTCGTCCTCTGTCATCCCCTTCTCCTTGTGCCCTCCATCTTTCCCAACATCAGGGTCTTTTCCAGGGAGTCTTCTCTTCTCATGAGGTGGCCAAAGTTTTGGAGTCTCAGCTTCAGGATCTGTCCTTCCAGTGAGCACTCAGGGCTGATTTCCTTCAGAATGGAGAGGTTGGATCTTCTTGCAG